TATCCTCTCTGCTCTTGACTAAGAGAGATGTGATGCTTTAAGCCCTACCTTCAATTCCCCCAGTAATGGATTGTCACATGGCCCTGTACACCAAATAAATCCTTTCCTCCCCTTGATGCTTTTTTGTTAATAATCACAGCAACAGAAATGAAATGAACAAAAACAAAGATACATAAAACCCACTTTCCACTCTATCTTCCTGAAACCCCTTTCTCTACCTCAACGGAATGTCTGCCAGGCCCTCATGCCTTTCCCCCCTTCCAGGCCACCAGTACCCAGCCCTACTAAAGAGCCAATCAATTCCCAAGCAATGAAGAGAAATGAGCCAGCCCAAGAAGTACTGACCTGTGGGAAACAGGCCCCAGGAAGTCATTCACCTATACCAGAAGTCCTGAAGTACTGGGGTAAAGATTCCCATGGCTGTTCACTGAAGGCCTGGAGAGTATCCCAGACCAGCCTATGCCCATTTAATTTCTAAATTGAGCAAGTGCAGTGCAGTCTAAGGAACTGGAAATTACACCATGAAAAGATCTAAGCATTTCTTTATCTTGGCAGCTGTTCTACAAACACTTTTCTTGACTCTAGTCAATGAAACAAACTGGCTCCTTCGATACTTCAATACTGTGCTCCTCACCTTCCCATTAAGAGAAAGCAATTCTCACATTTTAGCCGTCAATTAGAAGCCTTCCATTTTGCAAAACTATGAAATGATATAATCGCACTCCACAAAGAGTGGCCAAATCTCAAATACCTGACTAAATACAGGGAGATGATTTGTGATACTTAAATACAATTACTGTGCTATAGTCAGGTTTTTAATCTCATGTTTTTCAATTTCATTATGAAATTACAGTTTCAAACCTCTAGACACAATAGCAGCATTGTTGCTGTAATCATTACCCATGCTGTTAGAGGGAACACAGCTCTACTGGAGGTCACTTGCCAAACCTTGTAAATGCAGTCTAAAAAAAGGGATCAACCCCCCTCCTTGAGATCCAATCAGTTGAGGGAGCACATGAAGATGTAAGATGTCATCAGATTTACTGTTTACAAAGCATGCATAGGGCCAACCAAATTATAGAAACGTGTGTAGATGGCGCCAGAAACTCTGAGGTCATCCTCCCATTGTCAACAGCCCCAAGGTATCCCTCCCTGTTCAGCAGCAGGGGAAAGCACAGTAGTTCAGATTAGTGTAACAATGCTGTCAAAGGAGAGTAAAAAGGTGATAAATTGGTTTCCATCAAGAGAAGATGGTACCCAAAGGATCTCTAGGAACAACCAACCCAGCCCATCTCAGGAATAGCATGAAGAAATTTTAGATAAGCAAATAAGACCTTCCTGAGCAAGCGACAGAGAGGCATTTTCACAATGTCTGAGAATCCATCAACTCTCTCTACTGAATGAAGTGTCAGCTGGACCTTACACTTGGAGAATATATTTAGTGAGTCTAGTTGATATTGTGCTCTAATAAACACTTGCTGTGTACTTTAGGGACAACCTTAGGTAACTATCAAAACAGTCTCTGTCTTAGGGTTTCTTCTATTGCTATGAAGAGATGTAATAACTCTTACAAGGAAAATATTTAATTGAGAGGCTCATTAACATTTTTCAGCAGTTTAGTCCATGGCAGGGAGCATAGTGGTAGGCAAGCAGACATGGTAATGGAGATACATAGTTGAGAGTCCTGTATCTTGCAAGCAACAGGAAAGCAACTGAGGGTCACACTGAGCTAAGCTTAAATGCATCCCCAGGGAGACAAGCCTCTCCAACAAAGGAGCATATATGGGCTCAGGTCACAAAGCCAGAAAAGTGACTCCTAATGAGAACTCCACTGCCGTATGTTTCAAAATCATGTGATTTCACAATGACTCAGATGTTCTTCACTCATATTCTTTTCTACCATTTCATCTCCTCCCTCCCTTTCTCCTCTCTTCTCCACTTCCGTCTTCTCTCCACACCCCACACCACCTTCCTCTCAAACCTATCAGAATCCTACATAATGTGCCGTTCTAGCCTCCCCTCTCTATTGCTAGGCTAAACGCCCTGACCAAAGGCAACTCTGAAAGGAAAGCCTTTGTCCCAGCTTACAGAGGACCTACACGGGAACTCGGGGCTGGATGGAACGTGAAGCAGAAACCACAGAAAAATGCCGCTTACTGGTCTGCTCCCTCTGGGCTTACTCAGCTACAAGTCTCATGCCCTCCAGGCACACGTGCCCAGAGATGGCACAGCCCAAAGGGAGGGGAGCCATCCCACATCAGTCAGAAATCAAGAAAATTGCCCCATGATATGACCAAAGGTATTTCACTTTTCCAACGGTGAAAAATAAATCCAACAATTCGTTTAAATAGTCCAGGCTTATCAAATCAATTCTTTCACATAAGTCAAAGAGTTCACAGTTTAAGATCTAAGAATGGCAGGTGCCTTTAACTTCCAGAAAGGAACTAGAAAACAAAAGTACTGGAAATATAGCTGACCTTCTCCCAAGACAACAGCCTTTCCAGGATGAGGGAGAAAAAAAAAAACTCTAAGAGTACTGTTAATACTCCCTTAAAACACATGATCTAGAACTTCAAAAAAAAGCCCATCTCCTAGGAGGTCTGCTACAGTCAATCCTAAATCACTTGCCAAGACTAATTTGGATCTTATAGACTAGAAAAGTACGGTGCCCATGGGCCCCAGAAGAAACTCAAGTCTCAATGTTCCTGGGGAAATGCTAATAGAAACTTCAGGGACTTCCTTAAATCAAGGACATGGAATATTTCAGCACTGTAGGACTTAAATAGCCCATTGGGAAGTCCAATTAAGACTATTAACATTAGTTTGGCACAAGTCTAACCCTGGCACTTCAGAGTTGGAGGCAAGAGGATCAGGAGCTCAAGGCCATCTCCAGTTATACAGAGTTCAAGGTCAGGCTAAAACACATTCAAAACAATACTGTTGTGCCCAAATTCTGAGCTTCAAAATCACCAAGAGGCCCATTTCGATACAAAAGCAAAGGTGTCTTTTATTGTAGTTGTTTAATGAGCTTACCCCATTAGCTCGGTCCTTTTATCCATCCACGGCAGCAGATGGCTGGAGAAAAGACCCCAAGAAATCACAAGGCAAGGCAGCATAAGGGGAGTGTCTAGGGGCAAGCAACCGTCTCAGGACTGGTGTGCTTCCAGGCTTGGACAACCTGCCCTGTGCTGATTGATTCAACTGGTCATTATGGCCCACAGGCCCTCCCAGGGCGGTTGCTATGCTCTGCACATCACGGTTGTGTACTTGTCTGTAAAGCACACCCAGAGCCGTAAAGCACAGCCCTGCCAGCTAACTTTTGATTGGTTCCTTGCCACGAGGATGGCATCTAACCTCCTAGTGTCCAGGACAGGAGTGGCAAGGTCAGACGAGTACATGTTAGCCTATCATGGCTGCTAAAATGGGGGGGGCTGTTCCCTTCAAACACATAACATATATCTACATCCATACACATGCATATGTATGTATATAAACACTGAAGATCTTCCACAGGCAAGGTGATACACAAAAGCAACAGAATGGAGGGTTTGAGTTCAAGCCCAGTCAGTTACATGGCCATCCCAAAGATAAATACATAGAATAAAAAATAAAAGCACTGTTTCAATCTTGGTCAACCTTTGAAATCAGTTTTACACAATACTTGCAGAGGCCTGGGCACACCATCAGAGATTTTTATCTAGTTAGTCTGGAATGCAGCCTGAAGATTTTTTTCTTTTTTTTTAAGAACTCCCAAGTAATTCTCCTGTGCTTCTAATTTTGAGAAACCTCACTTTAAAGGAGATTACCTATTTTACTTTTCAGATATTCAAATGCATCATCAGAGCCCAAGACAATTAGGGTGGGTGGTCTTAATGCTGCAGCCTAGATTTCTATGACATAAACACCAAAGAAGCCCTAATAAAGAGCTCTGGGTCCTCCTGAAAAATCTTTGCTGGTAACATTAAACATGAATTTGTTCAACACCCTTGCCTGCAGACTTATACAAAGTCCTTTCATAATTCATTTTTTGTGACAGAGTACATCTTCTAGTAACCTGATGCTTGCCATGAAAGTCGGGAGTCTAATTTTGTTTCTCTCATCGCATAAGTGCTTAAGCACTGAAGCTGGGCAGCTAACCTAAATATTTGGTCCCGAGGTGTATGTGATTTCCGTGGCTTATATAAGCTTTTATTAATCATTTGACTCATTTTTGAGAAGCATGTTACAAATATACCTTTTCTCGAAAACTTGCTGTGAGACCACTATGGGATTATGGATATAGGCCACCTAATAAAGGTTGACTGTTCTGGAATCTTCTCTCACACTTCCAGGGGCTTTCAAGCTCACAGCCGCATCCATTCCTGATGTGCTGCACAGAAACCTGGCGTCCTACAGGTTAAACCATGATCAAACAGGACCCGTGGAACCTGCAGCAGGGACTTGAGGAAAAGTCGATAATCGCTTCTTAACCTGTGATCCCAGAGCTGAGCTTTTCTGCATGAAGTCTCCTTCAAGTGAAGTCTGCCCAAAGCTCACAGACTCCAGGTTTAAGCTCTGACATGGTGCAGCTGTCCTGCTCCGACAGCATATATTTTTATTCCCTACCCAACCCTCCCTCTTGCCTCAGAGTGGTCTCCACCTTCTTCCTTCACACCCCGTTCGTTCACCAAGGCTGGAATTAATGAGCCAACAAGCTGGGAGAAATGCCTCTCCACAGCTGTCTCTTCTAGCAATTATTCAGGGACAGTGAAGGAAGTCATTAACAGTCCTGGGAGTCAGCCAGAGCCAACTCTGCCACACAATGCTCTAAGATGGGGCCTCTAGCCAAAAGGTCACTATTTATTGGGGGGTTTTGAATGAGGAGAGGGGGGAAAAGTCATACAGGGAGGAAGCTACGGAGCAGGTTTTCACTGGGTTTTCCTGGCACCTTCAGCAAGAAGAATTTCTTCTGCACAAAAAGAAAAAAGTCTAGCCGAACAGATCAGGAATTAATTCAGGGTGATTCCAGGGCAAGGGAGAAAGTATGCCAGCGAAACGCATCCTGGGTAGTAAGTCTGTCCTTTGAGGCCAAAGCAGCTGTCTGAAGCAGTAGAGTCCTACACTCTGTTTTCAGGTAAGTCTCAGATGGGGCTTCAAAAGGGACACTAAGATAGACTGCTGGGGCCGGGCGGTGGTGGCGCATGCCTTTAATCCCAGCACTCGGGAGGCAGAGGCAGGCGGATCTCCGTGAGTTCGAGGCCAGGCTGGACCGACAGCCTCCAAAACAATACAGAGAAACCCTGTCTCGTAAAATCCAAAAAAAGATAGACTGCTGGGGTGTGGAGTTTATTAGTTATTAATGCCACGGACAGACTTACAGGCAGACAGACAGACAATGGTGGTGGCTCTGAAGAGAGGAAATCAGGGTCCACAAGGCAGAAGTCCAAGGCTTTCTCACATCTCTCTGATGATGTGATGACTTCAGGGCTCAGGGCCTTTGCTCAGGCTCTGGGATTCCCTGGCAAGAGTGGGGGAGGAGGTGGGAAACAGTATGAGTGACCACCAACAATGCCTTTGATGGAAACCCCCTTCCCCAGGTGAGAAACCCTCACACCTGGAAGTGTAAGTTAGAGACTCACAGACTAAGTCTTGGTAGGGTGCCTCCAACTCTGAAAGGGGAAGGGCTGCTACAGGTATTGCAGCTGGAAGAACAGCTGGATCCCAACATTACATTCTTACACCAGACAGATTTGTCTGCTAAGACAGGTGACAAATCTGAACACCACTGAAACTCAAGGAAATGAACCTGAAGCCCAAATCTAAATGCACATGGCCAGCAAAACCCGAAAGTAAACGCAGGATGGTCTAGCTTCTCTTGGTATATTCACTGTCTCCATACACCAACTACTAGGGCACTTTTACATTTCTAATGCTGTGACTTAAAAACAAACAAGCATAACCATTCTAGATTACAGCTCACCATTGAATGGAAGTCAAGGTAGGAATGTCAAATAGCTGGTCAAATCACATCTCCAGGAGCAAAGAAAATACATACATACATACATACATACATACACTGACTTGTTTACTCACTAACTTTCTCCATTCTCATACAACTTAGGATCCCTTGCCTACCGCACAATGAAGACTGAAACCCTCTTCTCAGGTGAGTGCTTTAAAGAGAGATTCTGATACTGCTTCGGGTGGGCTAACAAAACTCTACTTGTTTTCTCCACTGAGAAAAGGACATCTAGGTTCTGTGTGTCTTTTTCTTCTTCTTAAACAGATCATGCAGAGATGTTTTTGAGAAGCTGGTCCAAACTGACTCTGTTGATCTGGAGGGGTGTTCCTGCCTCTGGATACCGAACAATGTTTGGGACAAAATGAATGTGAATAACAAACACCTGGAACACCAAAGTCTTACACAACCACAAGAGAGCACTATGGCAGGACAGAGAGAGAAGACTCTGACCACAAGTTCACCTTCAGGTTGGCGATATTTTCATGTGTGAAAGGATGCCAGCATCAAGTGACGTATTTTTCTGCAAACTTTTTAGAGCATGAAACATAATAAAAAATGCTCTTCTAGGATGCACGTACAATACCTGCATAAAACACACGTGACACAAAAATGCACTCCTACAATCAAGTTATTTTAAATAATACTATCGTAAGTGAGATACACCAAAACTATTTGGTTATACTTTGCATGTGTATATGAGTGTTATTGTTTTCCTGTGAGTGCACATGTGGGTGCATGTGTGCACAGACCAGGTATACATGTAGAGGTCAATGTCATTCCTCAGCTGCTTACTCTTTTTGTTTGAAATATGCCTAAATTCACTAAGTAGACAAAACTATCCGGCCAGCATGCATTCAGGATACCACCTGAGCATGGGTTCTGGAAATTCCAACTCAGACACCAACAGCTACAATTTGATCACCTAGTAGGACTGAGATTAGAGGATCACAAAATGAAGACCATCTTTAAAACATAAAATCAAGAGTATTTTTTACAATCCATGCGATTTAGCACGTGGAACCATGGTAAAATGCCCAGCTCACCATAGGTTCACGACAAAAGAAGGCTGCTGTCTATTATATTGTCTATCATAGAAAGAGACAGCAGCTTTATAATTCCTGTTCACAAGGGCAGTCCAGACAGGTAAACTGCACCATCCAATCCTTCCAACAGTACAGGTTATGCAGTCAAACATCCAGAGACAAGTCCCTTGCCACTATCACTCCACTCTTCAGAAATGACTCTGTATAGGGTTTACCACTCTCTTTACTTCACCTTGTGAAGACAACTTTAATTTCAAAAAGTCTAACAAAGTAACAAAAAACGACTACACATCTACTTGAAGGTACCTAGCTTCTCAGGTGCACAGAATGGTTTTATAGCAACTTTATATTTAAAAAAAAAAACAACTCCCTAAACTAAGACCGATACCAAATACATCGAAATCAAGTATACTGATGAACTTTGAACCAGTTAAGGCTGAACAGCGAATGACAAGTAATGGTGCTATGGCATTATATGCCCTTCCATACATGAAAGACAAGCATCTCCCTTTCTTTCCTTTTTCTTTTGCTAATAATGCCTTCCCTACATTCACCGCCATCATGATTACAAAGCTGTCTTCAACATCATCCCTTATCTAGCATCAAAGACTCTTTGAGTGGAAGGATTTAAAGGGGGATATATATATATATATATTGAATCCTAGCACCTGGAAGATTGGAAACAAGAAAGATTGGTGATACTAATCAATCAGTTAGTGAAATGAATAAAATGTTGACTTCTATACTGCAGTCCAAACCCAACCAGCACACCTCCCTCCTCTTCCCACGTGATGATGAGAATCACAGAGAGACTACTCCTATTCTCTGAAGGCCTACGCTGAACATCTCAAATGTCTACCCGGATCTGCTGCCTTCTTTCTCTGCATTTACAAGCAACAACTCCCGAGCTCACCCTGGGGCTCTGTTGTGCATCTCCCAGCTGCTTGATTCCCCGTGAAGAAACAACAGACATTTGACATCAAAATACTCCTTCCAGACGCCACTCCTCAGAGCCTAGCTGGGTTGTATGACCTCATCAGCCAAGTTCAAAGGTCCCTTAGGTCACCAAAGGAAAGACACCAGCAGAGCCCAATAAGGCAAAAGACAAAAGGGAAAGACACCAGAAGCCTCTGGTGTGGTATCTTCCAACATAACTGTCCAGCACCGCCTCAGGCAGCTACATCTACCCCTTTTCCTGTCTTCAACCAAGACAAAGAATTGAGAAGGAGACTCTCTCCTCTGATTGCATCCTCTGTATGGTGGGAAGAAAACCACACCCAGATGTTAGGTTTTTCTTTTCTTTTTAAAGTTTTCATTTATTATTTGAGAATTTCATAGGATACATTTTGATCCTTTTCTTATCCCCTCCCCAACTCCTTCCAGACCCTTCCCACCTCCTTCTCAACCCAACTACATGTTCTTTTTCTCAAAAAAAAAAGTTCATGGAGTCGCATTTGTGTTGGCCAACTACAGCTTAGTATGAAGCCTGCCATGGAGGATAGTTGGTATACCCAGTGTCACAGCATTGGAAATAAAAACCTGATTGCTCCTCTCCCAGCAGCTATCAATTATAAATAGCTTCCTGGCTACCAATACCCACTTCCACTCCTCCTCAACGGGTAGCTTTCTATGACTGACAGCTGAAAACTCTATTCCCATTGAGACTTTGCTCATCTATCTGGCTGGGTTTCTCCAAATCTAATGCCTATTGGCCACTTGATCCTTTCTGCAGTACCAAGCAAGGATGAGAAATTATGACTGAAGTTAAAAATTCTCCGTGTTTCCAAACCTAAGTGGCTGGTATGCAGCTGTCATTTGGAGGTAGTTGAAAGTTACTCACCCTGGAAAGCATGCTCAAATATCTAGGGGTAGCAGTTAAAAGGTTGGGGGAAGGGTGGGCTCTTCTATCAGGATCATAAAAGCAAAGCATCAGGTATCAAGTATAACAGGAGATGAACATATAGACCCACGCAGGGAATCTGAAGTAGAAATGCATTAGCAGCTCAAGAAATCATTTCAAATGACTTGCAATACAAATTGGCTTTAAGAGACATGCACATGTATTCCCTGGTGAATAGTGCTACCTATTCAAATGTTCAAAAACAGGCCATTCTTAAAGTCAAGATAAATCCCCAGACCTCAAAAATGGGCAAAGAAGAGGGAGGGGACGTTCAAAAGCAGAAAAGCAGTAATGCCTCTCTCGGGACCAATCCCTCTGATACGCCTCAAGCTTGCTAACAGCATTTTTATGCCACAGGCACGCTACTTTCCTTTGCCATGGTTTCATTCCACAGGTCCTTTCCTAACATCGATGGCATTTCCGAAAAAAGAGAACAAGAGGGCAGAGCCTACTGCCATCTCTCCTGCTTCGGAAAAGGCCCAAGAGGCTGGGAAAAAAAAAAGAATTGGTACGAGCACAACAAACAGCATTAGCCAAGGAAACTGAATCCCAGTGGGGAATCTGCCAACTGGGAGCCACAGCCTGACCAAAGGATGGACAGCATCCAACTTGGCAAAAACCCTGTGGTTATGAGGACCAGAAAAAAAAGTTTTTAAAAGTATCCCTGCACCGGTTTCTAACTGTAGCCACTGTGAAATCCTTGCCCTCTCTAGAACTGAGTACAACTTGTACCTCAAGCATACTCAGTGAGGATAAAGGAGTGTTCTACTGGAGCAGGAGAACTTCAAGTTACAGCAGGTCTAGTGATTCCAAGTAGGATAAGCAAAAATAGAAGTGGGGAGGAACTTTTTCAAATGGGTCAAGAGATTACTGTACACTCACAAGAAAGCTGGGCATGCCCAGGGAGTCTATGAACCATCATGAATTTGAATATGAATAAGATATGAAGGTAACAATGAACGCCTGTCATCCAAACACTTGGAGGTTAAGGCAGGAAGAAGCAGCAGGAGCTCAGTAACAACAAGTGGTACACAATAAATTCCTGTCCTATTCTGAAAGTTACTGGAAGGCCTACAGCATAGGAGAGAAGTCTTAAGACAATGCTGACACACATCAAATCCAACCACCTAGGATCTTATTACTGATATCATCACATTTAGGTCTTTTTATATAACCCCTGGAGACTCAACAAAGTACACACACACACACACACACACACACACACACACAAATACCATCAACTGCACAAACACAAGACCACCTGTCATAAGCTCCTTTCCAATAGGGAGTGTTCTCTAAGTTATGCTTGGTTCTAACATGAAGTATGATTTACTTTAATCATAGATTTCCTGTGTTAATTAGCTTTTTTTTTATAATCAAGAAGAAAATTGCCCTTTAGTTCCTGAGTGCATACCAATGGGAGCCTAAGATTATAACCTAGGAATCCTCTAGGGGAAAGGTATCTAAGAGTAAAAACTTTAAGAAGAACAAGTGAGATTTGATGACTACCATACACATAACTTTCCAGTAGCCTCGGTTAGGGACTATGTAAAATTCATCAGCATGGAATAAAACTAAACACTCAGTGCAGTGAGGTCCCTCAACTTAGACCTACTAGCACTGAACCTACAGAAGCCATGACAAGGAACTGGTATATTTAATCAGTTCCTCCCAGGTTTGCTCCCATGACAGATGGGGAATTAGCACGTACTATGGTAGAGACTTCTCGTGAATGACCAAAGGCACTTGGGGCTGTCCTGTGCAAAATCTAGAGTCTGTTATGTGAAAAAAAAAAAAGTGGAAAGGAAATGAGAGACAAACAAACACACAAAAACTAGCTTTGCAGTCTGACTGTAAGGACTGTGATAAAGAACCTTAAAGAACCTGGCATGGGGAGGGGGGGTCAGAGCATTTGCCTACTCTCTCTCTCTCTCTCACTCCCTCACTCACTCCCTCACTCACTCACTCACTCACCAGCAAAAGCTAAAGGACTCTGGCAATGCTCTAAGAAACATGCTCATCTGTGAAGGGTAATTAGATAGTAAAACTCCAAACTTAGGAGAGCTGTTCCCGGAGCCCAATCATGACTCACAGCACCCAATGCTTGCAGATGTTATCTACAGGCACCTCCCACCTACACTCAGCAGCTAACTACTGCTTTGTGTTTCTCTTTGGCTGCATAGCCCAGACAAACCCCATTTTAATTCTAATGCCATTAATACTAAAACTGTTCATACCTGACAGGCATGAAAACAATAAAAACAATTTAACACAATTCTTTCCTTTTAAGGATAAAAAAAAAAAGCAGGGTCATTTTTCAACAAAGTCTTTCGGGCCAAAGTATCATAACAAAAGATGATCTTAAAGGACTATGATTCTATTATTTGGGAAGCTAAGGCAAAAGAGGGCAGTTAAGAGGCTACATACAATGATATAATGTCTTCAAAATAAACAAACAAAAATCTTATCCATCTAATATGACAGAAATTAACAGAGATGTGGAATCCAGGTTCCAGTCCCTGCCTCAGCACTAACTATGAAACTGAGTAGGTGATTATGTGACC